GTGTGCGTGTGTGTGTGTACAGTAGTTTATGGGAATGGTTCTGACCAGAAGCCCTCGGCGGGTTCCCTGAGGACTCACTAATTGATGCTTCCTGGTTCTAGTTTTTTATGGTCTCCCTCCCCTGAGCCTCCAAAATGGCTGCGGTTCATTTAGTTAAGAGCAGAAAAAAAAACCTAATAAGAAACACTGTCAGCACAAATAAAAACCCTGAGGCACTTGAACTCCCGTATTAACACCCTTTTCTACCAATGAAGTGACATTAAGGTGGCACATATACTTTCAGTTAGTGCATTAGAAGCCTCAAGACTTAGAGTTTAATCGATTTGGTGGATGAATTGGCAACTATTTTGATGATGGGTGAATCGTTTAAGTTGATTTAAAGCAAAAAGGCAACCTGTTTGACGGCTCCAACTAGCTGTGGTATTGGCGATACGATGCATATCACGATACAGGGGGGTTACGATTCAATATATTTCCATTATCATTAATTAATTAAACCAGTGTAAAATACATAACAATCATTGTACCTGTGTGTCTTTTGGTTGGATTTCCTTTCCCTCCAGTTTTCCGTACAGGTTGCGTTTTTCCAAAATGTTCAGATTCCTTCACATCATCCTTCACTCTGTCTGTCTGTCTGTCTCTCTCTGTATCTGTCTGTCTGTCAGGCTGGGGCAGCCAGAGCTCCAAGGTCCAGATCCATCACAACACGTGGCTTCACTTCCCCGGCCACAACCTGAGATGGATCCTCACCTTCTCGCTGCTGTTCGTCCACGTGTGCGAGTTCGCCGAGGGCATCGTCTCCAACAAGTGAGACCTCAGGCTTCTTTTGTTTCTACCGTCTTCAGAAAAATTACACTATATATGGGTTTGGTCTCCACTTAGTTAATTAATTCTCCATATTAATTATATTTTTTTGTTTGCCTCTCGCTGTAGGATGATGGAGACCAACCACCTCCATCTCTTCATGCCAGCCTTCATGGGTTTCGTAGCAGCCACAACATCAGTGGTTTACTACCACAACATCGAGACGTCCAACTTCCCCAAGCTGCTGCTCGGTAAGACTCGACGCTGAGGGCACACCGGGCTGCCTCATTATCTTTCTTTACTCTAACTGTTCTCTGGCTCAGTACACTATTCAGTCAGCAGATTATAGAATTAGTGCCTGGTAAATTGCTAACCACTATCTAACTACTGTTTTTTATGATGTTGTATCTTGGTTTGGTGAGCCGAAGACAAATTTCCATCCCGGTGGACAATAAACATATACTCTATTTTATACTTTACCAGCCTTTAAAAGAGTACTCCACCAATTTAGCTGAATTAAAGCAACCAATCAGAGCTAAGAAAGATAGTTGATTGTTGAGTCTCGTTCCCAGGGCATCATATACAGACATAGACATAGACAAACCCAAAGAGTCTTTATATCTTTCTCCCCTGTGCATAGTTTTCTCATATGATCTCCAGAAGTGTGTGATTTATGACTCACAAACTAAACGATGGAGCAAAATATGACATAACAGGCGTTTCTCCATCAGCCATGACTCAGTTTTCAGAGCAGCTCCCAGTGTGAAGGGCACATGGTGGTGCATCGCCTTTGCTTGTGAATTCATCAGCGATGTCACAGTCAGGTTCAGTTCCTGTCTCTTGGCAGTGCTCGGTGTAAGAACAAAAACATTTGTGCTGCAGTGAAATGGTTAAGGCCTTTCCGATGGATAGAATATGAGCACACAGTGAAAATGTCATCAAATATGATAAAAAGTTATTTTTATAAAAGTTACCTACCGCAGCTTTAAGGGCAGATATTTTGCATTGTTGAAATGGAGGAAAACCAGTATTTTATGTATTTTAACATTCAAATGAGGTCACTTTATAGATATTTTTTATTCAGCACCATCATAAAGTAAAGATGCAGTAATGTCTCAGGCTGTAATATCATATTAAATCCATTTTTTAACCTCCACACAGTCCTGTTCATCTACTGGGTGCTGGCGTTCATCACAAAGTCCATCAAGCTGTGGAAGTTTGCAGAGTACCATGTTGGACCACAGCACCTGAGGTTCTGCATCACAGCGCTGTTAGTGTTGTTGTACGGACTGCTAATGGCTGTAGAGATCAACGTCATCAGAGTCAGGGTAAGTAATCACGTTTCATTCAACATCAGTAATTCAATCTAATGCATTTAATGCAGGAAGTAAGTGAAACAAACCCTTTTTGTAATAATTGTATTTAAATATTCTCATTAACTCTCAGTTAATTGTATCCCTTTTCTCTCCCTGTAGAAATATGTGTTCTTTGCCAACCCACAAAAGGTGAAACCACCAGAGGATTTACAGGATTTGGGAGTTCGCTTTCTGCAGCCGTTTGTCAACCTGCTGTCCAAGGTAGACACAAAAACATTTTGTTTTAAAAATTCAATCTGGATCGACTGAAAAACCAGTAAAAAGTTCAGATATTTAAACCACAAGTAACGTTAGAAAGTGTCTCAGTTCAAGCTTCACATCATCCGTCAGCCAGACTTAATGTTTAGGTCCCACAGTCAATATCAAATGTTACTAGAGCACTACTTGAACTCAGGAAGTGGTTCATTCCTAGGCAACATATTGGTGGATGAATCCTCTCATCATGGGAGCCCATAAGAGGCCCATAGAGCTGAAGAAGATTGGCAAGCTGCCCATCGCCATGAGAGCCCTCACCAACTACCTACGGCTCAAAGACGCCTACGAGGACCAGAGGGTGAGCAGATGGAGGCCAATATTCCAGCTTTATGCCTTTACTGTTAACATTCCCACTGTTGGCTGTAGCAGTAGTAATTTCACCCTCCATCAACCCTCTCTCCACACAGACGGCCGAGGATCCAGATCGCGCCCCATCGATCTGGCGCTCCATGTATCGAGCGTTCGGTCGGCCCATCCTGCTCAGCAGCACCTTCCGCTACCTGGCCGACCTGCTGGGCTTCGCCGGGCCGCTCTGCATCTCTGGCATCGTGAAGTACCTGAAGACTGATGATGAAGTTGCAACGCCAGACAAGATCAAGGTGGGTGCATTAAAAAGTTTAAACTGTTCAAACAGGTATTAGTAAATATGTCACAATATGGCCCTTTTTCTGTGAATTCAATTAATGAATAAGACCTATTTCTTATTACTTTTTATTTATATACCCAAGAAATAAATGGTACTTACTCATATTTGAGTTTTATTGAGCACCTTTATGCAACATTTTATTTAATAATTAATAAGACTTTACTTTGGTGGGCCTCAGCAACCCCTTCAGAGTGCATATTTTTCTCAAATGTGTGATTTATGACCCACAAACTAAACGATAGAGCAAAATATGACATACAGACGTTTCTCCATCAGCCCTGACTCTGAGGTTATCAGAGCAGCTCCCAGTGTGAAGGTCACATGGTGGTGCATCGCCTTTGCTTGTGACTTGCGATGTCAGTCAAGTTCAGTTCCTGTCTCTTGGCAGTGCTCGGTGCAGAAAACAAACATCCTTGCTGCAGTGAAATAGTTTAAGGCCTTTCCCGGTAGATAGAAGATGCTTATGGGAAAAAAATGAACACACAGTGACGACGAATCCAAGGCAGGAAGTAGTTATTGACATACATTAAATATAGCTGCTACATATGGCTACAGTATACGTAGTAGTATGGACGTCTCCTGACCCTGACAGCTGTGAGAAATAAAATTACTGCTCTGACTTGAAAACTGGTACAGAAATCGATCCAGTGTCATAAGAGAGTCACAGACCGCGACTGAGACGTCATTCATTCCCCTTTAGAGAAATCACTTTGGAAATTTAAACCCGTTTTTCGGGGCATGGCTGAAGTCTGCTTAGTGTTTACGTAGGATAATTTTATTAACTGTTAAGTGCAAATTGGTGCGACGTCGTCCACACAAACCGTGTTCCCTGCCTGTCACTGATGGTGGGTGGTCCAGCCAACCAATGAATGACTCACTCCCAGTGTGTCACCAAGGCGTTGGTCGCAGTCATCGTGTCGCCACCAGTGTGTGTGTGTGTGTAAGTGTGTGAACGACGCTGTATCTTTAACGTGACCGTGTTTAACCCTAAAACCAAGTCTGAACCTTCAAACAG